GTTTCCATTTTACCCTGACCATCATATAGATGAGATAAATCTTGATAAATAATTAAAAACAGTTTCGGATCTTTTTAAAAAATAATCAATTAGTGCAAGTGAAATATAGTTGAATAAAAATATATATTTTAAGGTTGAAATTGACATTTGTTCTTTTTATAGTACTGGAAAATGAGATACCTCATGCGAAGCAGATGCATTTGCAGTTTTTATTAAAATTATTGAACCGTCGGATATTGTATCTAAACGCATTTGAACTATGGAAATTGGTAAGTTTGAGTCGTATTTGAACTTATTGTTAACTTATTGATGCAGGTGTATGTAGATGTTTGCTGGTCTTATTAATATTGACAATGATGAAGGGGCAGTCGCAAAATATTTATCATTGCAATTGTATTTTCGCTTGAAGTGCGTGGTAACGCGTCGATCAGTGGCGCCGACTGAATCACGGGAGCTAGCGAGAGCAAGCTAGCACCCTTCTTAAAAAAGACTGACTTATTCAAAAGACAAAACGATATCCAAAATTCGTAGCTGAGAGAGAGCAGGAAATGCAATTACTGACTCAACATGCGATATTAGTCCTAACCTAAGGCCTGTTTCAAACATCGCGCTTCTTGGCATGTCAGTGCCGAACGCATTAAAAACAATACAGTCGAAATGCCTCATTTATGTATTGTTTTTAATGCGTTCAGCACATGAGAAGTGCGACGTTTGAAACAGGCCTAAGTTTCCTAACACATCTTTCGAGGTCGTAATACATCATCTTTAGAACTCATCATTTTCTGCGTGAATGTCGGTGTAAAGTTTCTTTTCGGAAGGAGCTTTCCACTGCTGCCATGCATGAAGTGCCTGTTCGCGCGCAACTGAATGGATTTTGTTGGGATGATCAGATATTATCTTCTACCCCATTTCTTATAAAACCTTCCCTGTCTGCAGCTGTATGGGCATCGTCGGGCCGAGATTAAAACACCAAACAGGCATGACATGCACATCGACTTCTTGCTTGTCTTACAAAGTTTGCCATTGAGAAAATTATTACGTTACTAAAGTCTAAAAGTAAAATATAAGACAATACATACCTTTTACTTTTTGGAGGTTTGTATAAGTGAACAAATTTGAACAAAAATCACACAACCAAAACACAGGATACAATAAAGACAGGCCCAAGATACCATCCCAAAATATGAAATAAGCTCAATGTTGAAAATTGAGCAAAGTGTGGAAATGGTATAGTTAATATGTGTCCAAATCCTTTATAAGCATCACTTAATATCTCAGTCACACATTCACACTAATTGTATTTGTGTGTAAGACCAGTCCTTCTTGGATAAACTGCTGATTCACCTTTGTTAAAACGGAACAAACTATTTACAGTGTGGGAGTGACGCCGTCATCTTGTGAAAACAAAATATTTTGTTTTTGAGTTCGACTTAGTTTGCAAAACTAATTGATGTTACCAAGTTTTGTACATTATCACAAACTATATAGTGAAAAGATTAATGAAGATATATAATTTGTGAAGGGGATTAATTTTACACCTTTGCTTTTAAAGTTGGAGGGGGTGCAGAGACTCTAGCCCC